AGTCGCTCGGCTTTGTTAGTTCAAATGGATAATGGGCATGTGAATGCATGGTTGCTAATATGAGTATATGTGTTTTGCCTGCCGACGATCTTTTGTTTTTGCATTTTTTTCGTTTTGCCGTCGCGTATTTGGTAGTTCAATTAACTTTCATGCCTCTTGGCCAACGCGTATTTGCATTAATGAAGTGTAATTTGTTTCCATTTTGCAAGGAAAAGCAACAGGCTTACACATACATACATAAAGCAGATTGCTTTCTGATACGAAATAAGTGTAAGTAGAACTATCGCATGCTTTCGAAACTCAAACCTACGATACTCTAATACGACAAGATTTAAAGTGTTTTTGAATAAATTTTTTAAATTGTTCTATCCTCAACCAAGAAAAGAGATTTTAGATTGTGGCGCCGTTTATTTATAGAAGGGAGAGTGGTAGATATCACACTTATTTTAAATAACTCATCTCCATACTTAAAGATTAATCTTAAATGAGATAAACTGACATATTTGGGTATTCCAGATATCAAAATAGAAAAAAATAGTGAGTTCTAAGACCAAAAATTTATGTGTATGTCCAAAGCCCTGGGTGTTCACGATAATAGCGAAGCAAGCATGCTTAATTCTACACCAAATATCTCGAATGCTGAAAGCATAATCTACTAATACTAATACAAAGCTGTAGCTATAAAATGTTGAATATAATTTTTTTCTAAGAAAAATGTATCTGAGATTCTAATATTTTTGAATTTCGCGAAAAATTTAATCGCGTAAGTTTACTATTACTTTTATTACGGGCGTCTAGTCTGGAATCTAGTTTATAACTTTATTATGCCAGATACACATGTTCGACCAGATATTCATGCAAATTTTCGCAATTCGATATGCGCACATGTAGCAAAATATAAATTGAGCGAGAAACTTATTTCAACATATTCTAGCATTCGCCGAAAATAAAGCTTAAACCTGACAATAATTGTCAAAAACTGCACACAAATTTGCATACAGTTTTTTTCTACAGATCCGGTAACGCCACGAGACACATTTTGTTTCTTTATGCTCGACATTTAAGCCATATAGGTTTCGTTACATGATTTTTTTTTTCGATAAATCAATAATTCTAATTCCATCATTTACACCAGTGTGGCAAAGTGTGGCAAGAATAGCATTGTGCTGCCTTGTGGAAATAAGATCAGGTTTAGACAATAATATAATTGTTATAATTAATGTGAGTTTATACACGCGGAAGTAAAATTTATTGTGGCTCGAATTACGATTTTCAATGCTAATTTGGTGTAGTTTGGACAGTTTTTGTAGTTTGGCATGTCACAAGAACAAACGTGCAGACCATTTTTCAACAAAGTATGCACTGAGTGGCTTATATTACATAGACAGCCAGAAGTTGCGTAGTTGTGGAAAATTAATTGCATCAGAACTTAGATTGGTTGAATGGAGTATACGAGCAATATCGGTAATTTTTACCCAATCCCTGTGTTTTAAGGTAATTTTTGTATTTTGCATAAAATCATTAGAAAAGAGCTAAGCACTAAGAGCTCATAAACTTATTCTGGACCTAGTTGGTCGCTACTTTCAAAAATTTAAAGTACTTTCGAAATATTAATGACCTCTTGATCAGCTTTGGACGCGATTTTATTCATTTTATAATTGTCAGCTAACTTTATTGATCATAAAGTTACCGATGGTCGAAAATTGAGGTTAATTTTATTTTTGGATAGGAAAAGTCACATGAAGCAATCTCTCGGGAATATGGAGTCTGTGACATAGTCACACTATTTGGCAAATTTGACGACAATCTTATCGAATCTATTTTTTTAACAAACGAAAATCGCCAAGCTTATAAACCGACGTCTAACCTCAGCGGGTACAACTTACAAGTTAGGCATGAATATAGTCGAACATTTTATCGTACTTCTAGGGCATTTTATATGAACATAATTAAATAAATTTGTATTATTTGACTCTCCACATTCGTAAATTTTAATTTTAAATATTCCGTAATATTTTAATACCTCGTATTTGGTATTTCTAGAGGGAGTATAGAACCAATATTATCAAAGCTATTTTCAGTAATTCTCACAGATTGCCTTATATTCTCGATATAAGATCAACTAGAAGCACTGAAGTCCGTTTAGTATCTCAGATTTGAAAAGCTAAATTCTGATTTGAGACCATATCGGATAAGATTTATCATTTAAAAGATCTATTCATAATGAGTTTTATTTCATCGATATCTTCATTGAACTTGAGATTGTAAAGAGGAATCTGTAAAGAGTTTAAAAAGCGTCATATGTGAACTGGGCGTATTTTTATTATGATCATCTTGCTTGGGCCAAACAGGAATAATAGGAAGGATAAATATAGTCAATTTTACTCTGATTCTAGGCTCTGATAGGGTATAATAAGTTTGCCATGAATGCTTATACATGAGAAGTAAAAATGTATAGTAAAAATTTTACTAGTAAGCTTTTAAGAAATGGCGTCTGTGAAAGGTATAATCACTGCAGTGTATCCAAAGTTAATTTTTCTGTTATTATTAAAAATTTCAATTAACTTTGAATAGGCAAACTTCTTAGTATTGCTTTTAAATATCAACTGCCATATACTGGAGTGGCACAAACAAATGGGAATGGCGGAAGTGAAATGGTTTATACAAATATTCCTATATATGTACATATGATCGAAGTCAGCCGTTGTCAACCACAAACAATCGTTACAAGCAAAAGTCATATTCTCAACGTATGAGCAAGCAATGGGTATAATAAAATAATTAATTAAAAAAAATAATAAGCCAGCTAATAAACTCTGGATTGGTTAGAGCATCAGATATAGAGTCAACATACAAAAGCTAAATACGCCACTCGTTGGCCTGTTGGCAATTTGTTTGAGGAAGTGGGTTGTGACCGTCAGCCCACAATACGATTGATTTTCACACAGCCACATGTGTTTTTCTAAACATATTATACGCTATAGGAAGATTTCATACTGGATACTGTTTATACCACGTACATACATGCATGTATACGTCTATATTTTTCAATTGGTTTGCCATCCGTCTAACTAACAGTCATTCAACTAACAGTCCAAACTTGCACCATTTTTAATGGATTTTAAGACTCGCCCCTGTTTGCCGACTGAAGGGGGGGGGGGGGGGGGGGTTTTTTTTGGTTTTTTTTTGCCGCGTATTTTTGCTATTCTACAAGTAAGTAAGCTGCAATTCTCACCTGAGCAGTTTCCTCGCGCACACCATTTTTTTTCCCAGAAGCAGTTCTCATAAAGCGAATGTCATATAATTCTTCGAGACTCTTCGAGTGGAATGGCATTGCGCTCATCCTATAGCAGTCACTTGCAGAAAATGAAAATATAAATTGAATTAAATTTCATTCGTTGCTGTCATTTCGATTCCTCATCATTACAAAGCACCGTTGTCAACAACACCTCGCTTAAGCTAAGTTATATAATACTGACTTATATTAGGCGTCTTAGTCGGCGATACTGGAATGTTAGTGATTCCTCTTTGTATATATTTAACACTTAAGTGTTGATATTATTTGGTGGCTTCTAATGATTCCTGATTGCCGATATGTTGCACTGCCTGCATGTCGAGCATTTGCTGCTATCGTTTTGGGCAAGATATTTTTGTGCTTAATAAATTTATGAAAAACCTTGTTGCGAGAGTAAAAGGAAAAAAATATTCAATCTATCTGAAATATAGGAAATCCATAAGATGTTACTTTCATTTATAATGGAAAACACATAAAAGTTTGGAATTTTATATGATTAGCAGTGCTTGCAGGAATGAATCTATAGCAGTAAGATTTCCTCAAAGTTGGTAAAAATTATATATAATATATTATATGGTTTCTTCCTAAATATAGGCATCATTTTATAGACAACATAAACCTAAAGCCTACAGTTGGGATCTTAGTTCAAATAATGGTCATGGTGACATTTGGCGTTGAGCAGTATGGCATTTTTAGGGGATAATACAATTAAGCGCTTAGTGCAAATATTTTTTTCTCTTACTAAAGAATAATACTTGTAAAATTGCAATTTTTTATTAATTTTACCTGAGTTGTATCAATTATAGACTTTAGAATTCTATTACATTTAGGGTATTTTCTATTATATTATTTATATATGAAATATTATTCAAATACTTTATAGTTAATGATTATATTGTTGAAATATCTACGAAATATATAAGAAAATTTTCTTCTAAGAAAGGCCTGCAATGAATATATAAACATAGGTATATTTTGTCTTATTCATCCTGTAGGCCTGCCCTGAGTATCAATGCTTTTTTGCTTTTGGCAAATCATAAAAAAAAAGAGCTGATAAGATTTTAGCATGAAAAAAGAACTGGTAAGATTTCAGCTTGAGAAACCACCAACAGGTAAATTTGGTTTTCTTGCATAACTGATAACTGATAATTCTAGCTTTGACTAATGTCAGTGGTCGCTTTTCAGCAAATATAACGAGAAGTTCCTGTTAAATGGGAAGCTTTCGATGGTCACACTTGTTTATTCTTAATTTTCTGGTTTTACAACTGCGTACAATATGGCTGCCGTCGATTCGCCATTTCTATACAAAGAGTTGATTAAGTTGTTCGATTTGCTACTCTCTACTGCTTCTTGAATTTGAGACAGGTTCTATATAATTAACATTATATTATATATATGGCATTAATATGGAAATAATAAGAGATTAAGAATTTTTCATAATAATCATGCTTCTCATTCTGCATCAAACAAAGAAGCAGTTTGCGTTCTACACAATCATGTTATGCAGTAAAACATTCTTACAAGAAAAAAGATGTTAAAGACCTCAGAGGCATGAAAAAATGTTTGTAAAATTACAAGTATCTTCACATAGAGTCTCCACTGTACTCTTACATGTACTTTTGCGTGATTTGGCGTGTTGGCTTCACTGGCTCACCACTGGCTTGACAGTCTAAGCTGTCGCTATCAAATTACAAAAGCCTCAACAGCGAAATGCTGTCACATACAATGCGGAGCAACACGGTGCAATGAAGCGCTAACATTCCAACAGCCAGCGATTTATGAATATCTGCTGTCAGCTATGTGTACACACAGAGTTGCAGTGAAAGAGGAAAGAGGAAAAAAAATATTTAAAGTGTGTGTAATAGGCTGCTGCGCCTGCTGGGAGTTCAGGAAGTGAATGCTTTAGGTAGAAACTGGTGAAAAAATTATGGAAAAAGAAAGTTGTGCGGTGACTTTAACTTTTCTTACACGAAAAATATGTAGTTGAGTATGTGAGGATAAAAAATAGTGACACAAAGAATTACTACCGAAGCAAAACAATTGATTTTTTTCTAGGTATTGTTAAGTATATATCTAAGTACCTATGTCTGTGCGTTTCTCTGCTATGCCAGTTATGTGTCAACACCAATGTTTCGTATTAATGAATTGCACTTAACCTAACTATTTACAAGTTTGTATAAATATTTATAGCGCAATATTTATAGCAAATTTATAAGCGCATGCTCAGTCAACTTACCGCTGCGACGTTGGTTAGATAATAACGTTACACCTTCTCGTAATCCAGCGTTTTGGCGACAGTCACCTGCGGAGATAAAAGTGTAGATATGTATTTGTTTGTTATTTTTTTTCATTAAAAATATTATTGATATGTATTATATATTAAATGCTGACGAATCAAAAATCTAACAATTCTTACGTTTGAGGTGTGTTGCATGGTGGATATCACATATTGACTCTGCGCATAATAAAAACGTGTATGTATATATGTAAACATATACAGATATAAATGATTTTGGTATGCAATTTGATTGATTGCATCGATTACTGACAAAGAATGACAGTGCAAGGCCAACATATTATGTGTATGTGTATGTACATAGGCGCAAGCAGCCATTCCATTCCCGGCTGTATGAACAACGACATACACAAGTTGTTGTCTACCAGAGCTGTAGATAAATTTGCCAAATGATTGAGACCACCAACGCATGCCACATGACTCTCAAAAGGCATGTGCATGGTTACATTTAAATATACTATTAATTGTATGTGTTGCTTACTTTTGCAATCTGCGATTTTCTCGAGAATTTATAGATAGAAATGTGACAAGATTTATTGCCTGCATTCACAAGGCATTACCCTCCACAATGCTGCAGTTGGGTTTATCCCAGATGATTTTGGTTGTTAATTTGAAATAATTTTCCGTTAATATGCATTTATTGATTGCAAACATTCGAAAACTTTTTATTTTATTACCAATTTATTCATGTGCTTTGATTTTGAAATGGCAATATTGATTTAAAGACAGTACCTATTAATATGTACTTGATTGTACTGAAAATTGAGCTAATATTTGTGGAGTTAAAAAAAATTTATACATAGAAATATATATATATATATATATATGTATATATTACTATATTCCAAAATATTTTCAAAATCAGCAAATATTTTTTGCGTATCCTTCGGATCTATCCACAAGTGACTTTTTCTCCTTCCTAGTTCTCTAAAGCATGGTCGATGAAATCAAATTTGGCGATATTGAAATGTCAGTTGCCGAAACAGTATTATAACAAAAATTGTATTGAAAAGTTGGAAGATCCTAATAATCAATACACCGTAATCGTTGGCAGTTAAATTGGTTAATTTCAAAAGTGTTTTTGAAACGATTAAAATTCTTAGGCTGTTTGTACATTATAAAGATATTTTATATTCATAATACCATATTGCACTTTACGGGTATTGAACCTATGCCAATAATTCAGTGTCTATGTAAATTCTTCGTGAGTACTCACGGCATTCAAACAGGAATTTTCAACTCGTAATTGGCATATGTTGAGGTTATGATATATATGTACATATATATGTACATAGTTTATATATTATAAACTCTTCCCATCCCTTCCCATCAAACTAGAATAAAATATATTGATTTGCACATCCGATTTAGATTTCCTAACACTCACCGGCCCTTGATGGGAAAGGAAATTGCAATGTACCATAGCCATGCAAATTGCCATTTCTCATCTTCCGTTGTGTTTGTTTGCCCTCAACAATAAAATACTCGACGAGTCCATTAACACAGCATCCTTGTCCAGCGCCTGAATGTGGCGGAAGACCGTCGTGGCAACTTGAGGATCTTAAAGACAACAACAACAATAACAAAGTTAATAAAGGGATTATAGAAAGTATTTAGACGAGCAAAATGAAGAAAATTAGAAAAGCCATAAAACAAAATCATGCAAGTATATATGTATGTGTTTATTGCGGTGTGTTGAAAGGAAAAATGCTGAGCAAATAAAATACATTACTTAAGAAAATCGCATTGAATGTAAAACGAGATGCTGACAGGAAAATGCCAATGGTAAGGACTGTTGTACACATGCACCAGCGGCACCAGCAACATTCACCAACAACAAAGCAATATGAAGGCATTGTAGCTAAAGGTTTGTGCGAGGCTTAAGACATTACTATGCATTGCAGGTGGAGCAGTTGTAAGAAATTACATGTTGCCATTGCAGTCAACATAAATTAACTCGGCTTGAATGGCAAGTGAAATGTGCGTTGGCCATATTTGTAAACGAGCAGCGCAGCATACTGTCGGCTATACGAGGGCATAAGCTTATGCGAAATCGTTTGAGGAGTGCGGCATGAAGGGCCGTAAATGCTTATGGGAGTAATATTCAGCTTTTTGCAGGGTAAGTGAAGTGGCAAGGCTAGCACAGAGTTCGACTTCAGAATTTAAAGCATAAGTTTGCTAAAGTTAGAGACGCAGATTAAGACGTTGGCCATGAAGTCAACGGAGGTATGGTATCGGAACTGAACATCAACTTATGTTGTATTATATATTAAGTAGAGAGGTAGTGAAGATAAGTGACTTTTTCTTCATAGTAATTTTTATTTTAGTTAGATTTACATCTGACTTTTCTTAAAAAACTTTAGTGCGTCTCGACTTAAATATAAAACGAAACTTTTAATTAGTTGGCAACTCTATACATGAAGTATTGTAATAAATAATAATAAAAAATTATTTTCGATTTTACAATACGTAACTGAACGAAGTAATGA